TTGATTGATCACATCAATAAAAAAGAAATTAATTACATGGATAATCAGCAATTATCTACTGTAATGCGCCTCAACATTATCTAAATACAGATCACAAATCAAATTCTATCATATAATTATCAAATACTTAATTAAAGTATACTATAAAAAATATGAAAAAAATCATCTCCAAAATCATCTCTAAAATAGACTATATAAAATTCTCTTATTCAAAATAGAATTTAGAAAGAATGTTGAAATTACCTGTTCATGGAAAGTATCCTTGCTTAGGAACTTCATTGGCTCCAAATGTGAGTGAAACTGTTCCACCACAGTGAGCTGTTTTTTCAGAAGATACTCAATGATGTACCCCATTGTTACATCATCTGGCAGCCTAATTCTGTCACCAATGGTAATGAACTTTCCTCCACTGAAACAGATATAATAATGCCAACGATTATTCACGCGATCGATTACAAGATCTTGGAAAGTTATTACAAAAATATCCACACGATCGATCAGAAAAGTTAGCGATTTCGTTTGCGGTTAGATTATTATGAATTATTTTCGGCTTACCATCGCCTTGCGCTAGAGATATACCTAATATTTGCCTGTTCTATAATTCTTTATGTTACGACACCTATGATGACATCTCTATTGTTACATAGAAAAGATTATTACTTGCATTAATGAATACTGCCGACATTTGTCATATTCCAGGAAATGTCTTCGATTTTCTCGATTTCTCGATGGAGCTTTTGTGTAATATATCAGACTAATTTGAATCTTTATTCTAAAAGTAAAAATCTGTTCAATACATATTTAATGGTTGCTTGCACAACAATTATTACATGACTAATAAATTTTATCTTTTAGATTGTGAAAATATGAAATCTGTTTGCGTTGTTTGAAATCCCCCAAAAAATTTAAAAATGAGATAAATATATATTTAGGCAATGGAAGAGAGAGAGAAAGCGAGTGAGTGCAAAAAGTGTAAACGCGAACAGACTTGTGAACGAAAGCAGTGGCAGTCGTAACAGTAGAATCCCTATATAGATAGATGAACCTCTAATGAAAGATGACGAAAGAGACCTCGCGTGGTTATATGTGGTACTATTATACTGACTGATGACTGCTGCTATCTAATGACGATTGGAGAAACTATTTTCTCGAATACTTCAAAGATATCAGAAAATTTGCCTAATGGCAATGGATGATAACCCGATGATAAACCTTCTGTGGTATTTTTGAAGATAATATCCGTGAAAGTTTAAAAAGCGTTATTTTCTCGAATATATTACTTTCAGAAATATTTAGAAAGTAATTTTTTTAATTATCACAATTTTTTATTTTACCCTGAGTTTCCGTTTCTGCTTTTTCTTCTTTTGTAAAAAGTTATTAATTATGAAAAAATATTTACTTTTATAACTTTAAATAATTTTAGAGAGCTTATTCCATAAAAATTTTATCTCAAATCTAAATAAATATTTTATGGAAGAATTTCTTAAAAGATATAGAAAAAAATATTTTCATACAATTCTTATTCTGATATATCTGCGTTAAACTAAAGACTCAAACATCGTAAAACCGAAAAACATTAAAATCTACACCATGCAACTCTTCTTAAGAAGGAGCGAATGTAGGTAAGATAATATCGTCAAGAGACAAAATCCTGATCAAAAATCTAATAATTGTTGTTACACAAGATAGAAAATTAATCAGGCCATTTTTTAAACTTTGTTACTTCGATCTTGCAACGTTCTTCGTTCAGATGTATAGAAAAATGTATAGATATCCATGAGTTTTTTTTTCAACTAATGCGTTTAACGATCATTTTCATACCTTGTAACCACACATATTTCGTCTTCGTAATATTCTTCCATTCAATTACTTTATACTTAATAAAGCTGCAAAATTAACAAAAATTTCAAAACAATCTTCTTTCTCCCTTTAGTACAATTATGGAACAGTAATGTTAGAACAAACTAATTAAATCAACAAAAAAATCTATTAAACTTTTTTAAATAATAATTGTATAAATGCTTAAACGTAAATTATAAATAAATATTTTCGATAAATTAATTCTTTACTTGATACACAATTGAGTTAATTTTTAATATTACATGTATTTTTTTAGCTGAAGAAACTATATAGAGAAAAAAATTAATTAATTGTAATTAATAATTACAAAAATTATTTTAGCATGATAAATAAATCAAATATAAAATCAAACGTAATGTATTGCTTAAATGTCTCAAAATAAATAATTATTATAAATGTACTAACTCTTGGTATGGTGATATACAATTAAAAATATAATAAAATACATGCGTTTTAAGAAATATTGTTTTACATGTACACAGTTATTATTATTATATAATATTTCTAGCATTTTCAATCAACATCAAAATAGCTACTAATTATTAATTTTATTAAAAATGCTGTGATGTATATACGAATGTAATTTATCGATGTCGCTCGAACGTTCAACGTCTGCTTACGGGCATCTGCTACATGAAATAATTACCGGCCACTACCCACGTTGCGTATGAAGTAATTAACTCATTCCCATGGTGCCACGCACCTTATGTGTTCGAGCGCCCGCAGAAGCACGATGGTCCCCTGGTCTTCGCTAACCCCTTTCGCGACGGTCGTTCATCCGCGCGCAACGAATTATGGAAGGAAAAAAAGTCCGAGACACGTCACGGAACCTCGGGACAGGGTCCCCGGCGGGAATAAATTACCGGCCCTATGCACCACCCTGAAAGTCACGCGATACCAGCTAAGGTCCTTAAGTCCTTCGCGTGGCACTCGTCACGCATGCACGATTAAGGTCGGCCGGAAACGCGGCGGCAGAACGCTGCTGTCCCGATGCGAAAGTCGCTCTCGGGTATGGAAGAAGGAGTGTATATAAGTACGGCGAAGATTGTCGCAAAAAAGGATACCACTCCCTTAAAAAAAAGAAAAAAAAAAGGATAATTGGCTTGGCCAGGATCAGGGTGGAATCGTGAAACGAGACCAATCATATAGTGTCCATCATGTAGTTCTCTCATGTCTATGCAACCAGAGGTACACCAGAGATGTCTGGTGGCATCTCGATCATTCGACATTTCCCATAGATAACTCGCCAATAATCGTGCGGGATTGACCATTACGTGTATGAAGCGTTAACGTTCATTTCTCACCGTCATATACTTCATTAATCTTAGCGTTAATCAAAGCAGACGCTAGAGCACGAATGTGTTCTGTCCAGCGCCATCGCGCGCGAAGTAACGATCACTTTTCACCGAATAACGTGCTCGTCCGATCGTTACTCTTCTTTATAATCTAGAATATTTACTGGCTTATTTACTGGCGTCGGAGAAGTCGTCGCTCTCGCGACGAAGAAGAGAAAGGCGCAGAAATGAAACCCGTGGTTTCGGTGCGCGTGACGTGAACGTTTAATTACGTCGACGACGATGGCGACGACAATCGCAACAAGAAGACCGGAGCTTTAATTCGGCTGCATTCCGCTCATGTAGATTAGGTCGAAGTGGGAGACGCACCTGCTGCTCGTAACTGCTGTTGCTGTTGCGCGATCGCTACCGCTTCTCCGCTCTTCAAACTGGTCGGTCCGCATTAAAGCCGATCTCCCTTCGTATTTATTAAGAAGCAGGCTTGCTACCAACACGAGATACGCAGCTCTGTAGTAACGAATTTCCGTTGATAAATCCGTTATTAATTTGCGTTATTAATAGAACTCGATCCACCGTTGGACACTGCATCGTAGTCATCGATACCGTTAGCAATGACGACGATGATAATAGGTTTGTTCGACTTGCTTATACTTTTTACACTCACCATCTTCGCTTTCTCTCTTTTCAGCGTCAAATACATACATCCGTCTCATTTTAAGTGTAAAAAAAAAAGTGTAAGCAAGTCGAACAGACCAATTGGTTTGTTTGCTGTATAACCGATCATGGCGATAGCGTGTGCGCACGAGAACGAGATTCACGCACGACTGATCGCGAAACTGTTTTCCGATCGTGTCAATCAGCACCTCGTAACGCAAACACGTAATCTCCATTAGCGGGAACGCGGAACCGATTCTCCTAACTGCTGTACCATGTCGATAATCCCTGTTTAGGAATGCGAGACACTTTCTTCGGTTATCGTTGAACTTCCGAACGATATTGCGCCGAACGAAATTAACGCGAATCAGCACGTAGTCTACCTGCAAAAACGCCCTGCAACAGGTGGTCGTGATGTCTTGTCTTGAAAGAGAGACACCGATTCGCAATCGATGGAAATTTCGACAGGCGAAGAGTCTATGGCTGGCCGCGAGCGCGAGGCGAGAGATGCACGATCCACGACGGGCATAAATCGTGCCAATTAGAGGCGACGGCAGGTAGTCACAACTTCGGTGACCAAACCCTGTATGTGTGTGTGTGTGTGTATGTGTGTGTGTATATATATATATATATATATATATATATATATATATATATATATATATATATATATATATATATATATATATATATATATATATATATATATATATATATATATATATATATATATATATATATATATATATATATATATATATATATATATA